ATAATAATAATAATAATAATAATAATAATAATAATAATAATAATAATGGAAAACCACCTCCCACACACATTTTTAGGAAAATTAGGAAATTTAAGGCATTAGCAATTTAATAAACCTGCTGGTGAAAGAATGGTAGGAAGGGGATGAAGGAATTCCTCTAGGAAGCCAGCCTTGTTCCAGATAAATTGGGACTACCAGTTCCATAATTCCTAGCCAGTTTTTGGGAATATACTAAGTTGGGAATATTCTTCCATTTCCTTGCCAAAGACATGAGAGCCAGTGGAATGGGGAGGTTCATGAGTTAAAGATGGGATGGGGAGACACGTTTAACCAACTAGAGTTACTCAACAGGGCAACTGTGATGGAGCCTTTGAGAATCCAGAGAAAAAGAGAGAATAGGCATGCAATAATAAACTAAATGAACAGAATTCAAACATCTAGCAGATTTAACGAGAGGGCACACCCAGTACAGGTAGTCCTCAGTTTACAACAGTTCATTTAGTGACCTTTTGAAGTTACAACAGCACTAAACAAAAGTGACTTTTGACCATTTTTCACACAACCGTGGCAGCATCCCCGTGGTCACATGATCAACATTCAGATGCTCGCATTTATGACAGTTGCAGGCAGCATTCCAGGGTCGTGGGATCCCCTTTTGCCTAATAAAGTCAATAGGGAGGCCAGATTCACTTAACAACAGTGGCAAGAAAGGTCGTAAAATGGGACAAAACTCAATGAACAGCTGTCTCGCTTAGCAACAGAAATGATGGGCTCAGTTGTGGACTGCCTGTAGCATATCTAGCATACAATATAGATCATCCATCTAGCTGTAAACTCAGCATGGCATTTTGTTGTAAACCTTGTAGTAACCAAACGTGCAAGATAGTCAAGAGTGAGGCTGGGAGACAGATGGCATCTGTGGGAGTTTGAGGCATTAGCATGGGGCTGGATTACCCTGTCTTAAGACAGCAGGCAACATGCTGTGTGTGGGGTGTGTGTGTGTGTGTGTGAATTGTCGGGATTAGGCAGAGGCATAGCCACAAAGTGGTTATGTCATCCGTACAAGTCTGTTCCATCTAGCAATCACAATCACAATAAATATGCCAGAGGAAAAATTATTTCCCCAGAGATGGCACTACAACCTTGTGAAATTCAATTGCTTTGACGATAAGATCTTAATGTGGTACATCTGTTTTCTTTCTTTACCTTGCCCTAATAAGGTAAAGAACCAGCATGGATCACAATAGGAGAGTTGAATAAGGACGGACAGAGTTCAAATCTCCCTGAATCCACCACAAGTATACTTGGATGACCTTCCCCCTCATCTCCTTCCCTTCAAACGGAATCGCCACACATTCAACTTCCAGGAAGAAGGTAGGAGAAAGTAAAAGATTCCCTGTGAGCCGTTTCAAGACCGCAGGATGAAAGCAACAAATAAAGAACACGAGATTCAGCTGCTCAGCTTTTGTTCTCCTTTTGACCTTCAGCTGTGGGACAGAATTGCATTCTTGCCATCTCATCAGAAGAGAAAAGGCCGATTTGTTACTATATCATGCACCAAACTGCTTGGCCAGACGCCAACAGCCACCAGAAATGCAAGGCCTCTGTCCTTGACGCAGATGCTTACATATACAGGCTCCGCTCTTCGTACTGGAGCCTCAGATTTTCTTTATATAGCCAGCGAGAGGAATGAATCACTGCTAGAAGCAAACCTGTTATTCTGACACAAGCAGTATTTTGAATATTTTTTAAGGACTATACGAACATGTGCTGCTGATTATGGGGATAGCGATTTACCAGAAGCATTTCCTGTGCACGCATTCACCGAACGTGGAATCCTATGTATGATTTTTGTACGAACATTTGTGGAAACATTTTAAAAGCTGAAAATGTAACTCCACACAATAGAAACCATTTTTTTTAAAAAAAGGGTAAAAATAGAATAAAAACAGAGTAAAAATTAGAATAGAACCACTTGGGGGAAATAATGCTGGAAAAGCTGACATTTTTAAAAATAATCGAGTTTTTAGGATATCTAAAACACTTTAGATCCAATTTTGGTGTAGTGGTTAAGGCACCAGGCTGGAAACCAGGAGTTCTAGTCCCACCGTAGCACAAAACCAGCTGGGTGACCTTGGGCCGGTCACTTTCTCTCAGCCCTAGGAAGCAGGAAAGGGCAAACCATATCTGAAAAACCTTGCCAAGAAAACATCAGGGATTAGTCGAGACAGTTGCCAGGAGTTAAAACCGACTCAAAGGCACACACAAACATAAGCAGCCTAGACTTGCCTCTGTGACTGAGACAGCATACAGGTTCATTAAATACATAAATATTCTTTTCATACAAATCACATTAAGCCAAACCCAGAACAGGCCATTTTATGACCGATCCAAGTGAACCCAGTCTGTTCTCCAGGGTAAGCAGAACTCAGAAAGAACAGGCTGAACCTGCCATCTTACAGTAATTTCACCATTGCGTAATGATAGAAATAAGCCCAAATAGAGCATATTTTTACAGCAACTCTAAATGAGATGATAACTAAAAAATGACATTTGATATTAAAAGTCCCGTTCCCCCGGAAGTATATTTATTGCTCCTTTCTCTATCCTTCCTCCCTCTCCCTATATTCAGTCCAATAATATGGAGCAAGGAAATGGATACTCTCCTTGGGTCACATTGCTGCTAGCAGAAACGGGCGTGGATGTCATGTTGGTAGCAGGCTCCATTCCTTAATGCTGGCCAAGGTTTCAGAATGCTGTGGGGCTAAAAATATATTTTTGCTCCACGATTTGTAAGAGGCAAACTGCTCTTTAATCTGTGCCTGCATGATTATGCTGCACAGTGCAAATATAACTCTTTACCTCACTGGATTTTCAAGGGTTCTCCAAACCCTTGAATTAAACCAGGAAAAAAACAAAACCTTGAAGGCACACGTTTGAACTACTAGAAGCTCAGTTTTAAAAATGTGAGACATATGGAGATGATCACAGAACACATCATGCAGGATGTGGAAGGGAAAAAGATGTTGAGACTTTGGAAAAAGTGCAAAGGAGCAACTAAGACAATTAAAAGTCTCCAGACAAAAAGAACAATTGCAGGAACTGGATTTGGCTACTCTGGAGAAAAGAAGGACTAAGGGAGACATGATAGCACTGTTCCAGTATTTGAGGGGCTGCCACAAGGAAGGGAGGTTCAACCTATTTTCCAAAGCACCAGAAGGCAGGACAAGAAACGATGGATGGAAACTAATCAAGGAAAGAAGCAACCTGGAATTAAGGAGAAACTTCCTAAGAGTGAGGACACTTAACCAGTGGGACAGCTCCCCTTCAGAAGTTGTGGGTGCTTCATCCCTGGAAGTTTTTAAGAAGAGATTGGACAGCAACTTGTCTGAAATGGTATAGGGTCTGTTGCTTGAGCAGGTGGATGGAATACTAGAAGATCTTCAAGCTATTCTGATTGAATCAAAATTGCTCTTCTGAAGCCACATACACAAAAAAGTGGTAGTATTTGATCACCCAGTCAAGCTCCTTCTTTTGAAACTAATAACTATCTCAGCAGATATGCCCTTCTTGGCCTCCAATCACAGTTAAACTGGCCCAGGTGTCATCTGCTCAGGTTCTATACTTCATTTTTATGTATTTATCTAGGTGCCTTCCGACCTGTTTTGACTCCTGGCGACTTCCTGATCAAGTCCTT